ACATGCAATGATGCCAAATGCAGGAAGATCACAGGCCAGTGGGTGGGAAGTCTTGTGGATCCAGTGGCATTGTAAGCATCTCAGCGCTGGCAGGGTCTCCATGGGGCTTCTCCAGGTCCAGGGTTTTGGCTGCATCAGGGTAGGTCTATGTGGCTTCTCCCCAGGGATGTCTCACAGGGAGTCTGCCTTGTCAGTAGACAGTCTCCAAGGGAGTGAGCAGAGAGAGAGAGACGTGTCTCCTGCCTCCAAGCAGGAAATACAGGAGTTCCCAGAATTCTCAGGAGAAGGCCATGCCCACACAGAGGCCTCATTGACTATATCTTGATTGGCAGGCTAGACTCCACCCCTACACTCTTCAGCCTCGAACTGTCAACCAATTATGCAACTACCACAGTCTTCACACTGTGGACTGGAGATGCATCCCAGCCACCTTCTCCTGAGTAAACGTCATTCCCCACGAAGCCCCTCCCCATCGTGATGCCAACTTTAAGGCGCTGCTTACAAGGAAGTGTTCCTACTCTACCCTTGAAGGTTATCTGCCTGAAGGTTGTCTGCCATCAAAAGTGATCAGACCACCCCACCTTGAGTACGGCCCCCTCTCTTCCGATAAGGATCCAAGATTGTTCCCCTGAAGAAGAGCTTAGGGACACTTAAGGTCAAGCCACCTCATGGATGGCCAAGGGTAGGCCACCATCTTAACTCTAGAACCCGCCCATCTTGTTACATATGTACCTTCCTGTCACGTGTATGCCCCTAGCTCGTCCCCTTCCGGTGATGTGTATGCCTCTAATACAACCCCTCCCTGCTATGCATGTGTACGACATGGCTTGCTAGCCCAAGATCATATAAGCCTATTAAGAGAATACATTTGCTCTCTCTCTGGTTCAGGTGTCCATGGAAGGGGTGAGCCCTGGCGTGCCTTGCCTGACGTTTCTTTAATTTACCCCTTAAGTATACAACTGCCCCCTAGGACACATTCAGTTGTGGAGGCTGGTTCCCCACAGCCCTTTTTTTTTAAATAATCATTTTATGTGAGACTCATACAACTCATCACAATCTGTACATACGTCATCTGTGTACAGCACTTTAGTACATATGTTGACGTCATCATTCTTACGAGCCCCCACAGCCTTTTGTGGACATATTTTCATTTTCTTCAGCTTCCACTTCAAGTTGCCTATGAGCTAATGATGATCTGTTTAAACAAACAAACAAATGATTGCAATGGTGATACATGGACTATAAGTGGTCAGGAATCTGAGTCAGTTTCAAGAGAAAATGTGGGACTAACGGACAGCATTGCTGTTGTCAGATGGGTCATGGCTGGAAGCCGAGACTACCAGAAAGATGTTTAAATGCTCAAGAACTGACAGCTTTTATTTATTTGCTTCTTTTTACTGTTGTTGTCAAGCACCCCAACTCACTGCGGTGGTTGGTTGTTGTTGTTGTTTTCTATTGTTGTCAAGTGCCGTGCCGTGGGTCCCAACTTGGACCCACCCTATGTACTGCAGAAGGGTACCTATGTACCCTATGTACTACCGTCTAATCCTGCACCATCTTCACCATCCTTGTGACATTCGAGCCCCTTGCTGCAGCTCCTGTGTCAACGCATCTCACCGAGGACCTGCCTCTCCTCCACGCTGTCCCTCCACGTTACCTAGCTGGACAACGAGCCAAGAAGATCAAGGAAGAATGGACGCACCTGCCTCACGGTGCTGGTGAAGAACATGGAATACACCTTGCACTGCAGGAAGGAACAGATCTGTCTGGGCAGAAGTCCACCCAGAATGCTCCTCGGGAGGAAGCATGGCGAGATTTTGTCTCACCTGTTTGAGACATGTCATCAGGAAGGGCCAGTCCCTGGGGAAGGACATCATGCTCGATCAAGTGGAGGGACGGTGAAAAAGAGGGAGACCCGTGACGAGATGGATGGACCCAGTGGCTGCGGCACGGGGATCCAAGGTCAGAATGATTGTGAAGGCGCCATTCTGTTGGACCTGGGGGAACTCAATGACATATCCGCCCCTGTCTGTCAGTCTGTCCCACCAGGGAGGCTCATGAACAGCTGTGATGCTGGACGC